GCAGACTTTATATATACACAGAGAATATGAAACAATACCTCCTCCCACCCCACTGTCCTGCTGGTAATAGCTTATCTAAAGTCATCATCAGGTGGGCCATTTCCAGCACAAATCCAGGTTCTCTCACCCTCCACCCCCCCACACAAATTCACTCTCCTGCTGGTGATAGCCCATCCAAAGTGACAACTCTTTACACAATGTGCATGATAATCAAGTCGGGCTATTTCCTGCACAAATCCAGGTTTTCTCACATCCCCCCCACCCCCATACACACACAAACTCACTCTCCTGCTGGTAATAGCTCATCCAAACTGACCACTCTCCGAGTTTAAATCCAAGTTAAACCAGAACATCTGGGGGGGGGGGGGGTAGGAAAAAACAAGAGGAAACAGGCTACCTTGCATAATGACTTAGCCACTCCCAGTCTCTATTTAAGCCTAAATTAATAGTATCCAATTTGCAAATGAATTCCAATTCAGCAGTTTCTCGCTGGAGTCTGGATTTGAAGTTTTTTTGTTTTAAGATAGCGACCTTCATGTCTGTGATTGCGTGACCAGAGAGATTGAAGTGTTCTCCGACTGGTTTATGAATGTTATAATTATATCACAAAGCCCGTTGCCAATTGTGCCCACATATCTATTCAGGGGACACCATCACAGGGCCTAATAACATCAGCCACACTATCAGAGGCTCGTTCACCTGCACATCCACCAATGTGATATATGCCATCATGTGCCAGCAATGCCCCTCTGCCACGTACATTGGTCAAACTGGACAGTCTCTACGTAAAAGAATAAATGGACACAAATCAGATGTCAAGAATTATAACATTCATAAACCAGTCGGAGAACACTTCAATCTCTCTGGTCACGCAATCACAGACATGAAGGTCGCTATCTTAAAACAAAAAAACTTCAAATCCAGACTCCAGCGAGAAACTGCTGAATTGGAATTCATTTGCAAATTGGATACTATTAATTTAGGCTTAAATAGAGACTGGGAGTGGCTAAGTCATTATGCAAGGTAGCCTGTTTCCTCTTGTTTTTTCCTAACCCCCCCCCCCCCCAGATGTTCTGGTTTAACTTGGATTTAAACTTGGAGAGTGGTCAGTTTGGATGAGCTATTACCAGCAGGAGAGTGAGTTTGTGTGTGTATGGGGGTGGGGGGATGTGAGAAAACCTGGATTTGTGCAGGAAATAGCCCGACTTGATTATCATGCACATTGTGTAAAGAGTTGTCACTTTGGATGGGCTATCACCAGCAGGAGAGTGAATTTGTGTGGGGGGGTGGAGGGTGAGAGAACCTGGATTTGTGCTGGAAATGGCCCACCTGATGATGACTTTAGATAAGCTATTACCAGCAGGACAGTGGGGTGGGAGGAGGTATTGTTTCATATTCTCTGTGTATATATAAAGTCTGCTGCAGTTTCCACGGTATGCATCCGATGAAGTGAGCTGTAGCTCACGAAAGCTCATGCTCAAATAAATTGGTTAGTCTCTAAGGTGCCACAAGTACTCCTTTTCTTTTTGCGAATACAGACTAACACGGCTGTTCCTCTGAAACCTGCCAGCCATGGTGACCCCATTGAAACAGGGTCGCGACCCACTTTGGGGTCCCAATCCACAGTTTGAGAACCGCTGAAGTAGATTATTATTAATAAGTGTTACTTTTAATATTAATTCCTAAAGCCACAAATATTCTTAAAAGATGTTTAATGTAATTTGGATTGTAAATGCATGTATAGACATACAAAAATAGGCAAAGACTCAAGCTGTTGTACTAGTCTGCATTCTCTCCTGAATATCCTGTACTGCTGTTGCAGAAAAAGAAGTCCTATTACTGACCAAACCTCCGGTAACTCAAAATACTAGATGAAATCAACTATTTAATAATTCTCGGTGGTGTCTTGTCTTCCTTGTTTGGCAGGAAAAGTGTATGGCATTTGGTAACACAGCAGTACATTAAGTATTTTAATAATCAGTATTGACACACAAAACATATGGTCTTGAATTACACATTGGGTCAAGTGGATCAAGTATTAGTCATCTCTGTTTTCTCTTTTGGAAGCTAAAAGATTTATAATCATAGATTCAGTTAGGATATAGGTATATAGTTTGACATGTACTGTGTTACATAGAATCTTTAGAGGATGTATCCTGAGACAGGCTCCCAGGTTACAGAGAACATACATATACCACTAAAAGGAAAAAAGCACATTTTCTGTGGTAATTTTCTAACCAGTTGGAAAGTATTATTTTTTAATAAATTGGAAACCTCACATACGTCCTAATTCCAGTCTGTTATATAAAACCCTTGTGCAGATTTACAATTTTGGAAGTTAATAATTATGCATGCTGTCAGCAGGAATTATTCCTGTGATCTGCCTTGTGTGTGACAGAATATTAAGAAATGAACATTCTTTGCACACTTGGGATATCACTATGCAAGGTAATAGTGGCATTCATTGTTTTCTTGCAAAACACTGCGTCACAGCATATGGACTAGAGACCAGATTCTGATCTCAGTTGCACCAGTGTAAATCTAGAGTAACTCCATACTCGTGTAACCCCATTGACATCAATGGAGCTGTTCTGGATATACAAGAGCGTAACTGAAACCAGAATTTGGTCCTAAGTCTCCAGTATATTTCCCAGAACCCCAGCACCTTTCCCATTCAAGTACCTTCATATAGCATTTCTTGGTAGCAAAAGCTATAGATAATCTGTTTAGACTTCCTTCTTTCACATACTTAACAACTTTTTCCAAAATTCTTCTTTTAAGGTTGCATTTTTAAGTGCTTGTTCTCAGTTGCGCGCGCTCTCTCTCTCTCGCTCTCTCTCGCGCTCTCTCTCGCTCTCTCTCTCTCTCTCTCTCTCTCTCTCTGTGGTGGGGGAGGGGAAGTGGGAGAGTGAATTTCAAACAAAATGTACGCATTTGTATTAAGTTATGTGATGGTAGGGGAAAATGTATTTGTGTTATATTTAAGATTTTTTAAAAGAAATTTTTGCACACACAAGCTTCAGTAGCCGAGCCTTAAAACTGGCCTTTTGAAGTAGCTTATCTTCGCTGTTCATGAGTTTCGAGACTAATTCGGAATAAAATAATGTACATTGGAACAAGTGGTATGAAGTTTCCTCCAAATACAGGGCTGTAATACTATTTGTGGTAATATGGAATAAGTTAATACATAATATCAATGTTCATTATGTGGGTGTGATTTTGTTTTTTAATTAATTTATTTCATTTTTTTTTTTTTGCTTGCCATTTCACTGTGGAGTTCTTTTGTTGGGTAAACTTTTTGATTTGTAACTATGGTGGTATACAGGCAAATCAACAGAGAGGTACGTGTGTGCGATATTTCTCCATTTTCTTAAAAAAAATCCAAGGAATTGCATACAAAGATTTCCATCGATGTAATACTAAGGCAGTCTTGCAGAACTGTCATGAAAATGAAACTCCCTGGTCAGAGGCGCAGTTCTTCCGGCAGCCATGGGCACCAGCCACTGCCCAGCCCCTGGGCACCGGGAACCCCCAGTCTCCAAGAGGGTACAAGGTTTGAGCCAGGCTTTTAGCGCTTCCTGGGGGAGCAGAGATGCAAGAGGGTGGGATCTGGGGCTCCTAGAACTACCTGGCCCCTGCTGGGTATGGTGCTCTTCAGCCTGATCACCTCTCTGCATGAGAGCTCAGGGCTGGGTATGAAGCAGGGAGAGTTTGGAGTTGTGTGCAGGGCAATGTAGGGGAAAGAGCAGGGTGTGGGCAGGGATAGCTTGTTGCTGGGTGCAGGACGATGTCGGAGGAAGAACTCAGGGCTTGTGTGGGGCAGCGGGAAGAGACTGTAGAGCTGGCTGCAGGATGGAGATAATGGGTCTGTGTGTAGAGGTAGTGGGGGAGGAGAGGAAGAGTATGTGGGAGGGAGAGCTTGGGGCTGGGTGCAGGGCAGAGGAGGGAAAACTCTGGGCTCCCCTCCGCAGGGAAAATTCTGGTTGCGCCCCAACCCTATTCACAAAACATCCGCATCAGCCTTTTACTCTGTTAGCTGCTGCTACTGCTAAGAGAACCAGTATTTTACTGGCCTTCAAAACAAAAAATTACTTGTTTAATAGGCAACATTGTGTGCTAATTCTGGAGAATGGGTAAGCAAAGGTTAATGTGAGCAGAAAACACAGTCCTGTGAAATTCTATATGCCTGTTTACCCAGGATCAGAAGGTTCTGACGTGTTTATTAAAAGTATAAAAAGAACCTACCTACCTATTATAAAGAAAGCTTTGAATAGAGAACTTTTTAAATAGAATTAAACTGTTAAATTGTAACTTCTACCATAGTCAGATGTGACCAACAGTAGCCAGATGACTGTATATAGTTTCATTCACATTGATCATAAAGAGCTTTATGCATATTACAGCACATTTTTGACTGTGTCTGAAAGAGATGCATACACATATAACTACATATATGTTTAACTGCTAGACACACAATAAATATTCTGGTTATCATGCATAATAGGGTGCATTCAGTTCCATATAAGTTGATCATCGTTAAAGCTTTTGAATTGTATTCCTACAAGTTGTTGTAAAAATAAGGACACTGTATATTGAACACATAAATAATAAATATTTCACATGCATTTTATGTAGTGTGTGTCAATATTAAAACATAACATCTTCAGTGAATGAATAGTAACTAAAAAGGACAAGAGAAAAATAAGACCATATGCTATCATGAATCAATCTACTTAATTCTCATTTCACTGGGAGTTTTGTGCAACATTCGATAGCATGATGAGGGCCTTATATAGGTTTTTAACTAGTCCTGTTATGTTTACCTAATTTTCTGAAAAGATTATATAAGTTTGCTGCACTGTTTTTCAGGGTTTTTTGTTTTTTTTATATAAGCTACCAGGCTGGGTAGATGGAGGCAGAAAAAGTTTAAATCATTAAAAACCAGCTGCTCCAAACTCCCTCATCTCCTGTTTGTGATACGTGACTCTTTGTATTTGAAGGTTCAAGCACAAGTACGTCATGCAAAACTAAATTTTGACAAATTGAAGACTGATGTGTGTCAGAAAGTGGATCTTCTTGGAGCGAGTAGATGTAACCTCCTGTCTCATGTTTTAACAACATATCAGGTATTCAAAGAACACTTTGACCTCAAAGGAAAGATTCCCTGTAAGCTGTAAAACCATGTTTTTCATATAGCGGTAATGTGACAATATGCTGATAAGTATAAGAATATCTAAATCGCTTGAGGGAATGAAAGTTTGCACTAAATACTGATTGTTAGACTAATATTGTATTGAAATATTACTTTCTTTATAGACAACGCTGCTTCATTTCTGGGAAAAAACCTCACACACCATGGCAGCTATCCATGAAAGTTTCAAAGGTTATCAGCCATATGAATTCACTATGTTAAAGGTAAGGACCATACCAGTGTATTCTTTTATGTATCGATTGTTCAGCCAGGAGAGTGATTTGGTAATAAATGAAAGAAAAGCAGTACACCTTTTTATTTGCATATTCATCTCTAGGGGGTTTGTCATGGATTGCCAAGCAGTAGTCATGGTGTGCTTAAACACAAATACATGGTGTTCATCAAATATCCTGGCATTTCCTTTTGATAAATGCATATTGGCCAGCATATGGCCCCATATCAACAAAACATCCCTATTCAGGATGGCATTTAAGCACTTGTTTAAAGTTTAAGCACATGCTCAAGCATTGTCTTAAATAGTGATGTGCCCCAAGTGCTGAATCAGGGCCAAAAAGAATAGTAGACAAACAGGACAAACTGTAGGTTTTACTTTGTCCTCCACAATCCCACACATTTTATGGCCACCATTTTTCTTTTTGCACTTATTTTTTAAGAACGGTTTTTAAAATCATCTTCTCATGTTAAAAAGAACTGCATCTAAGTACATCTAAGAACCGTCTGCATCTAAGTACCCACAAGGTGATTTTGGATGCTCAAGCTCTTTTTTTCCCTTCTCCTTTACTTTGTTACAAATTCTGTGGTGAAATTTCAGGAGTGCAGTAGAACCTCTGAATCTGCCACACTTGGAACGTAGGGCTGGACTCCATTCTCAATGCCTATCTTCATGATCTCTTCTGTGCCACCGTAAAAATCACTGATCGCTTTAGTGAATTTGAGGATTCACTAAAGAAATAAAATTTTTTTTTAAAAATGTCAACTGTTCAGTTAAAATTAGAGTAGCCTCTTGCCCAGTAGTCATTACACAGCAAAGAAGGCATGTAACTGCCTGATCCCATTTGCACCAAATAAATAGGGATGGGGAGAAGATGGAAGTATTTTCATCCAGGAGGGATTTGGGGAAGTGATAGGAGAGCTGCAACAAACAGGAAAGTCAAGAATGAATAACTTGTGACAATATGATATTGATTGAGACAACTTAGCTCTAAAACAATTTCAGGTCAGATCCTCAATCATTTGTGTGAATGCGTGTCTGTGTCACACGCAGAATAACCAGTTGGTCCACATTTCACTAGTCAGTCCTTGCAGCTGCACTATAGGCCTCAGAGGGGGGAGAGTCTTGAGGTTAGAACTTTTATGGAGAGTTACCTCACAACCCCGAAGAGTCTATAGGGATTTGTGGTTGCCAATCCTCCAGGATTGTCCTGGAGTCTCCAGGAATTAAAGATTAATCTTTAAATAAAATTATGTCACGTGATGAAGCCTCCTGGAATACGTCCAACCAAAATTGGCAACTCTAGGTCTGATGGTGCAACGGGTCAAAAAAATCTGATTTGCTAACCTACACTGACTAACAAACAGCAAAAATAAATCAAGGGCCCATTCCTGAGCCTGATTAAAGCATCATAATGCTATCTTAATTAGCCAGAGGAGGAATCCATCTTCTAGGAGCAGTCCTCAGATACCATAAAGCTACTACAGTGACTCCACCCCACCTCTTTCAGCTCCCAGTGCAGAAGACTGGGATCATGGTCAGGATAGCCCTATGTGATAAAACAATAAGCAGCTAGGCATATATAATAGCCTTGAGGCTGCTACAAGTTGCATACAGGATCAAGTTGATCCCCAGTTAGTCCCAGGATCGGGCAGGGCATAAAGCCACTGTTTCCCCCTCACTCAACTGCCTCAAGTGCAACTCAGGCATATCCCAGATTTGGGGGCAAAGTCTCAAATTTGGATCCCCTATTTGGTAGCATGATCACTAGAGTACTAGGGCAGGCTGTGCCTGACCACACTGCCCTGAAGGTAGTTTACTAGCTGTCTTTTTTTATGCTTTGAATCAAACAAATATATTTGTGTTGAATACTGTGACATTTTTTTCTGTTGGTATTGTAGTATTTGCACTTCTAACGTAGTCTAAGGAGGTGAGATTCCTCTGCACGTATTATAAATAACTAGCCAAATATTGTTCAGATCTCAATATATGGGACACGTTTTAGATGTCGTGCTGAGAGAGAACTTGGGCAGCCAACATGCTTATTTCCATGCATAAAAGATCCATGTGGTGGAAGATGGTAGATAGGCAACGCTATTCTGATTTTACTCCTCTTGTGTGATAGATTTGATTATAATCTAAATTAAAATTGGATTTGGTCTCAGTAACTTAAAGAAGTGTGAACTAGATTGTGTGTGTGTGTGAGATGAAGTCTCGTAAAACAAACTACAGCCATAAAAATGAATGTGAATATTCTACAGTACAGCATATATAGCTCTTCCCTCATAATGAGAATCCTTATAATTTGTAATGCTGGCATCCCATGTTGAGGAAATATGGCTCCTTGTTTTTTGCCATGACATTTTACCATGCTGAGAACATCATGCTGATCGCTGTTCTGGGATTTTCAGCATAGAACTACATGAAGGGTTAGTGGAAATGTTTAAGAAAATAACTAAATATTTGGGATAGAAGATTAGGCTAGTTGTCTTTTAATATCCGCAATTTCTTCCTTTTAGTAGTTATTACAATGACCACATTCCATGGTACACCAAAGTTTTTATTTAAAAAAAAATTAATAAGTTGTGATTTTTTACTTTAAACAATCTGTGTTACTAAACTAATTTTACAATTGTGGGTAATGAATAGATTTTAATTTAAATCTGTAGGTCATCATATTTCATTTATTCATTTCAAGTACATGAATATTACTGAATAGTAACAGTCTAGCTTTTTTTGGAAAGCTGAGTGAATGGATGATAGATTCATACCACCATAATTTCAATAGATGGCTTCATGTTATGGCTATAGGGGACTTATCTTTCATACAAAGAATATTTCCAATATTTAAGTTTTTTCCTGTGTGCTTATATATTTTTCATGTGCATGTGTAATGTTAATATATTTAAATTTTATATTATGTTACAAATATACATACAATACATGTGTATATAACTGTTTCACAACAAAACGTTGTGTGCACTCGCATGTGTGTTGTGACACAGTTAAGGTTACTGTATGGCCAAATTAAAGCACAGGTACTATAGGCCCTAGTGGCTATATATATATATATATATATATATATATATATATAGCTAAGTCCTCAGCTCCTGGAGTCATGTGATTACATCAGAATCCAAGGGTTTTTTTTTAAATTTTTAGCTTTCATGGCTGTGAAGATAGGCTTGAAAATATGAACTGAGTGTAACCAATGTACCAATATCTGCCTGAGTCTGCAGAAAGCCTGAATCAGTAGCTCCAAGATGAGTGAACTGCCCTGTGCATCTTGATGGGGCATTAACCTCAAGACCCGCTGTTCTTGATGGTCATCACCGCAGAAAAGGACTGTGTGTAGCAGAAGCTGCTAACGGATCAAATTTTGTCCATCTGCTAAAGAAATGCAACTTCTCTGAGAAGATGTATCCATCAGCAGCTGCACATAAAAACTTCTCTGTCAGCAACAACACATGAAACTTTCTCCATTGTAAAATTAAATCTGACAGATAAGTGTAGCTGCTGATGGAGAGACTGTGTATGTAAGACAGAAACTTTATCCAATAAAGACTGCTTCTGTCAGCTATTAATTTGATTTATAAATTTTGGAATAATGCTAAACATGACCCTAAATCCTGTTGTGTTGTGTTTGAAATCTACACATTGCACCAGGTCTACTCAAGATTAATCTCTGTGCCAATTTTTGTGTAGAAAAACAATGATCCTTTAAAAAAACACAAATTGATACTGACAAATTTAAGCTACAGTTATATTTTGTGAAATTAAACTGAACAAGTGCTAATTAGTTTTTATTCCCTTTGAATTTTCTAACAGTGTGTGCAATTTTGAGTTTGAAAGGCCACTTACCTGTAGAAAGAACGAGGAATTTATACCCTGTAAACCAGTTTCCGAACACACGCTGTGGAATTATGATCAAGAACCTTCACAATTTAAAATATATATAAGTATGGAGAATCACTGTAATTCTTAAATCTGGTGCTTGTTACTCAGCCATCAAGTCACTTTTCTCATTTTGAAGCCCTGTCCTGAAAACACATGTTGCTTAGCTTTAGTTACACAAGTAGTCCCATAGACTTTAATGGGACTACTTGCATAAGTTAAATTAAGCATAAATATTTGTAGGATCAGGGCCTTACTTTAGGACATTATTTGAAAACAAGCATTGTTTTCTTAAATGTCATATTTTAGTTAAATATAGGCTGTCATTGAAAAATTAGCAATATTAATGTGAAATGCAAATACGATGGTAATTACTATTTATGTTTGGAAGTTTTAAATTAATATATTAATGAGTATGCATGTATTAGGTTTACCTCAGCAAAGAGCCTCTTAAATGCCTGTTGGGATTGTTTCTGGAAAGAAAACATTGTCTTTGGAGACGCTTGCCAAGCTCTGTTAATGAAAAACAACCCATTTGTTTTCTTTGCCTCAGGGTATATTCTGAAAGTAGTGTAATTGTGTGTTTGCAGCTATATTTCCTACGATTCTTAGTTTTATGCTTGATAAAAGATTCTTATTAATATCCATGCATCCTGACGTGGAGAGATCTGTTTGCTACAGTATTATTCAAGGGAATGGGCTGACTGAGTGTGTAGAACGTTAAGGTTGCACTAACATGAACAATTTTACTCTATAACAAATGTGTCAGAATACACATCAGTTGCTTCTTTTCGTGAATGAAGCTCATTTCTATATCCTTTAATTGTTTCCTTCTTGCTGTAGTTACTTTAATATTTCATTAATTCCTGTTTGTAATTTTTGGTAGTATAATTCCTAACTTCCTGAATTGCTCACAGGCGTCTGGAAGTAGAGTGGGTCCTGAACTGGGGAATCAGGAGACCTGGATTCCAAGCTCTGCCACGAACTCACATAACTTCTCTGTGTATCAGCTTGTCTATCTGTAAAGTGGGGATGATGCTACTGACTGACTACTTAGAGCTCTTTGAGATCTCTGGCTGAAAAAGCACTGTATAGGGA